ACACTTATTGAAATTTCAGAATAATTTACAAGTTGAAGTTAGCCGAGGTAATGAGGAAAGATATATCCGAGGTACATATTACTCGAGATGACCAACCAGGTTGTCAAGCTTGGAATGGTTGGAAGGATGAAGTCTTGATAGAAGATAGCAAGTGGAAGTAAAGAAGCAATACTTAACTGAATAAGTTTAAGAAACAACACTTGTAAAAATATTTCAAAATATTTTTAAGTGTTAGCCGAGGTATTTCAATTGTTGACCGAGTCAAACAATCAAGGTTTATATCCGAGGTACTCTACTCCGAAGTGATTACACAGTTAAGGTGTACTTGGAAGAAATCGCAATAATATTCTAAATGTGGAAACGTGTAAGAAATGGAAAGCAAAAAATTCAGAGGACATTCAAAAGAAATGAAGGCATGCATTCAAAGAAAACTTGTTCATTTACAAAGACAAAAGAAGGCATGTCGGCCAAATGAAAACCAACATTGTTCAAAACAAGACAGAAGATTACATTGTTTATGACAGTTCAAAATAACAAGTAAAGGAAAAAATTCTGAATGCTAGGATCATTGGGGATTCTCTATAGACTGCCCTGCCTCGGCGATTGATGGTATCTCAGCCTCGGCAGACAGCTAAGTAGTCTTCTCGGCTGCCTTTTCAGCCTAGATCTCAGCGTCGATCTCAAGAAAAGTCTTGTCAAGGCTCTTCTCGGCGATCTCAACCTCAGCTTCAGAAGTGGTCTTGGGAACCTCGTCATCGTCATCCTGGGTCAAGTCCAAGACTTGATCATTTAGAGTTGGGGACTTGGCCCTAGCAGCTTCAACCTTTTGAGCAACATCAACAACTGTGTCCTTGTCGACCTCAACTTCTTCTTCCTCCTCAGCCTCATCCTCGAATTGGCTTGGAGTGGATGGGAATGGAAGAGTAAGTCAGCTAGCATCGCAGAGAGGCGAGTCATCGGGGACAGCCAATTCCTTCAACGCAGACATCCATCCAAGGGTGAAACCCTTGTTGCATGCCTCGTTGACTTGCTTCTTACATGCATCAAGGACGTCGGCCACCCCTTCGGCGTACACCTTCTCGTCGGTCACCTTTATTTCGGCCGCTTTGGTGGCAAGTGCCATTTGGAGCTCAGTTTGGGCTTGAGACTCCTTCTCTTTAGCTTCTTTTACCTCAGCCTTGGTGACCTTGGCGACATTTTCAATGGCTTCGATGCGATCCTCGGCTTTGCTTTGGGCCAGTTGACAACTTTCGCCTGGTCTTGCAAGCTTCGAATGCGGGCCTCGGCCTTCTTTAGTGAAGACAGGAACTTGGTTGCCTCCTTTGTCTTGTTGGTCAGTTCTTTCTTAAACTCCTCGATTTTGACTGCGAGTGAGTGACCCTGCTGGATAGCCTACAAGAATGGAAAGAAAATTCGTTAAGTATGAGAACCAGAGCTGAAATTAAACAAAAAGTTAAAAGTGCTGAAACTTACCAAAACGCAGTACTGCATCATCAATGCATAGTTTTCATACTCAGAGAGCTCGACCATCCGATTGATGTTGGTCGGAAGGAGAACGGTGGTGGAAAGAGCGGCACCAACTTCCACACTATCGAGCGCGCTGTCCCCAACTAGAAGAGGTCGGCCTTTGACCTTGACAAATGGGGTCCAGGGCTTGTCGGCAAGAAAAACACCAGGCTCATAAGCTTTCTCGGACCTCGACTTCTTGGATCGTAGCTGATCAAACGTCTCAGCCTCGGCAAGCCTCTTTTCAGCGGCAATAGAGCTCTTCTCTATTTCAACCAATTTAGAAATTGGCACTGTATCTTCTGACTCAACTTTTATGGTTGCACTTTGGCCTTAGCCTTTTTTACCCTCTTTGCCTTGGGCTTTGGTTGGGATTGGGATGGGGAAAAAGAATGAACCGATACCACGCCAGAGATGTCGGCTAGCAGGTTGTCGGGAACAATTTTTGCGCGATCCATTTCGTCGGCAATAACGGCAATGGTAACTCTGGGACCAAAATGAATGGATGGCAAGGAGATTAGAGGGTTGGAAGGGTTGGTCTCCGAGAAGTCAAGACCTCAGCGTCTTCTACTTCTAGTTCTGCCGATAGGGACGTTTGGTAGAGCTCGATGTCGACGTCGGCGTCGGCACTGAGATGGTGGGATTAGTTAAGCTGGAGTAGAAATAGATGACTGCTCTACTGGGTCTGATGAAGAGGCCTAGTTTGGCCTTGGCAATGAAGCGACTGTTGGAGTTGTTACTGATGGGGAAGTCTTGCTTCGGCGAGGAACGTCAGGCAAAGTAGACTTGTAGGTCGGGATATAATTAAGCAGCAAAGGGGCTTTGTGCTTATAAATATTCAAACCTAGAAGCCTTTTTAGATCGGGGGCTACTGAAGAAAGTTTGTCAAAAATACTTTGCTGGCTGGGGAAGAGCTGCAAAAGAGACCAAGAAGAAAAATATTCAAAAACAGATATACGAGTTAACAAGTCCTAGCAGAAATAGGATTAAGAGGATGACTCAGTTCTTACCATTACCCTCTTTAAACACCGATCAGCGTAAAGGGAAGAGATGAAGATCATCATCAGGAACAAACTTCTAGTTGCCCGAGACGATCAGGTAATCATCTCCAGCACCCTTGTTAGAGTCTGGGAGGTCAGCCATGATTTTGTAGGTAGTGGATCTGGGCTTAAGGTAATAAATGTAGCATTTTTCAGACTTTAGGCCACACATGGTATAACAAAATTGGATGTCGGCTAATATTATCCTAGCTTTTTCTCGTTGGGCTAGGGCGATTATACCATTGATAACCCTATAGGAATTGATGGCTAGCTGCATAGGGTTGAGTTTGTAGTAGTGGAGGACTTCCCTAAAGATAATGTCTAAAGGAAACCGAAGTCCACACTCAATGAATGCAACAACGGAGAAGGGCATGGAGTCTCTATCAGGCATGATAGAGTCCTCCTCCCCAGCTAACCTAATCTAAACGTCAGCTAGAATAAAGAACTCTCTCCTAAAGTACTCAAGTTTTTCTGGGGAGTCTACCTTCTACCTAAACATACCCATGGTGTCGGCTTAAATTAAGACTGGTGCAAGATTTCAGAAAAGAATGATTGGTATCGGTTTAAAAATCTCGGCTAAACCCTAAACAGGCACTAAAGCTAGGGTTTTTGCAGATCTAAGGGGAATTTGTCTAAATTTTTCCTAAGTATTTGATTTCTGGGCAAATCCCAAACCTAATAACTAAGCACGAAAACAGGCTTGCAAGGATAAGATCTGGAAATAAGCAAGAAAAACAAAAAGAAGATCTGGTTATCATTGAGTCATTTCTGGTTTCTTGAATCTTCGTTGTGCTTTGAACCTCATGCTTGTCTGTGATTTGGGCTGTTCAATTTATCCTTGTGTCTACACACACTGTTTATGATTCTGAATCAAGAAGGCAACAGGAATTCAAGAAACACTGAGTAGGTGTGTGCAGATGTGCAAAAGTCAAGAGCAGTGACAAATTGTTAAAGCGTCAAATTTATGAACACAACGTACGTGTGTGCAAGAACCATAAACAGTGTGTGTAGACACAAGGATAAATTGAACAGCCCAAATCACAGACAAGCATGAGGTTCAAAGCACAACGAAGATTCAAGAAACCAGAAATGACTCAATGATAACCACAATATGAGAATAGACGAAAAACAAAAAAACATATTCAATGGCGACATATGGGGAATGTAAACAGACACAATGAAAAACCATATGGCTAAAAACAGTACAAGTTATTCAAAAGTATGAACAGAGGTACGAATAGAAATCAGGGACTTACCGATTAGAGCCGAAGAAGATGACACTAGAGTGAGGTACGTCGGAATCAGATGACTCAAACGATCAGAGTCGAATGATGAAAGATGTGTCGGCGGAGACGGAAGAGGTAGTTGCAAAACTTCAAAGGTATGAAAATGGCGGTTTGGGAAATCTTTAGAGAGAGAAACTCTAAAAGTCAAAGGAAATCGATTTTGCAAAGATGAAGAGACGAAGAGAAAGAGAGAGAGAGAGAGAGAGGAAAAAGTTTTGTCAAAATAGAAAAGGCAGCAAAATGAAATGAATAGGCCTTAGATGACGTGCCTGTCAGGCGGCGTGAGACAGACCAACATGGCTTAATGACGTGTGACCGGTACGAGCCAGTAGGGGCATGACACGTGGAGGAAACGGTTGAAGAAACTGTGCGTGACAACTCATGCACATTTAGAACTCTTGAAATTCTTGAAGTAATAAGGCGAGGACCTCGGCTACAGGAGCAATCCTGACTGAGATGCTTAAAAAACAGGGTTCTTGGTTCTTGATCCTTAATGGAAGTGGATAGTTGAGTCCTGGGTACATGACGCCAACGAGAAATGATCTCGGTCGGGGAGAAGGAATGAAATTTTAGCTGATGTTCTATATGAAGAAGCAATGTAGGTTCCATCACCTCAGGTTGCCGAGGTAATAGAACCTAGGGGGCAAATGTGGGGAAGTATTTTATGGATAACAGCACGTGGCTAAGGTGACGCCAAAGTGTCAGCCGAAGTGCCGCATGGCCTAGTCATGTTGCCAAGATGATCTCTGCTAGGCCGAGGTAATCTGTGGAGATACCGGAATCCGAGATAAACAGATAAGGGAAAAAAGTCCTAGAACAAGGGAGGGCCTTATTTTGGATAAAGATAAGGCTCAATAAGAGTTTATCTCAATCAAAATGAAGGTCTAGGATGAGCATTGAGCCTGAGTCCACTGTAGTGGGACTTTTGATGGGACCAGGTCACTGTTGGTTATAAAAGTAAGGCGCCCTCGTGGGTCAAAGGGATGTTTTTTCTTGTGAGTTAAACATTATTTGCTATCTGTGAAAGATATTTGAGTACTGACTTAATCGTCGGAGTGCCCCCAGGTGAACGAACCACCGTCGAATTCCTACTTTCTTATTACAATTTGTTTGGACTTAATCTATTCTACCGGTGCTCTCCAACTGAGTTTCCTGTTTGGTTGTGTAGTCAAAAATCAACACCCACATCAACCTTGCTAACCTTCCGCTTCGTACATGGACGGCCTCTTCGGCGAGCAACCAAAGGATTGAGTACCTTGCGAGTTCTGCTTGTTTTAGTATTGAGACTAGTTAAACTTTTCGGTGAAGTTTGGAAAGGTGGTACAATACTAGTAGAAGGTGGTATAGTACTAGTACATGGCACATTACTCGCAGTACCCGATTCAATTGTTCGATCCTTGATTTCCCTCAACCCAAGTTGAATCACTTTGTGTTTACCATTATCATTGGTGGCAAGTTCTAGGATCTCATCCAACGTCTTATGATAGGTATCATGCAACTTTGTATTTATAGCAACCCCAAAGTTAGTATATGTTGTTGGAATGCATGTATATCCTCTTTCCAATCTTTTCTCCGTCGCAAAACAATGTATTTATTTGGTACCTCATATATGGACCTCTCAATGAGCACACTAAGTGAATGGGCACACATAATACCTCTAAACTCAAACAACCGACACATACATTGGAGCTCACATTCAGTTGAATTACAATACACAATAAATTCCACTTTCTTCATACCGTCACCTAGAAGAATAGCCTCCCTCACATGATAGGTACAAATTGATCCTTTCTCTTTCATAAGATTCAGACGACAGTACACTAGACGCTTCATTTCAGCTTGAACTTCTTTAAATTTTGCATTTGTGTACGCTGCACGAAATTGCTTCTCAAGATGATACACCGTTAAGCAATCATACAATTGGTTACGAGATTTAAAATCTGCTTTTGTCTCCTTCTCCACCTTACTTCTCAAGGCATTGTCATATTGCTCAAAAAATTGCTTTAAGGTAGTCTTCGAGTTCACATATCTATCAAAAAATACATTCATGCTCTCACTTCTACCGGTAGTTGACATGCCAGCCCAAAATATGTCTTTAACATAGGCATGAATCCTCCTATGTCGCTCACGGTATAATACCCTCAACCACTCATTTTCATTCAGATTGAATTTTGCAACCATTGCAAGCCAATATTCCTCAAATTCATCTTTTGTAAATGAATCACAAACTGCATTTTGCAAAGCAACCTTAATGGATTCATATTGCGAATATCCTCTTAGTTTCTTCAAAATTTTCTTCATTACATGCCATAAGCACCAACGACGTCGAGCCTGTGGGAAGACAATTTCTATGGCATTTTACATAACTCTACACTAGTCAGTTATTATAACTTTTGGGAGAGCATCTGACATGCAACTTAACCATTTTTTGAATAGCCAAACAAATGTCTCAATGTTCTCATTAGATAACAACCCACAACCAAACAAAATTAAGTGTCCATGATGATTAACTCCTACAAATGGAGAAAACGACATATCATATATGTTTGTCAAATAGGTTGTGTCAAATGAGACAACATCCCCAAATGCTTTATAAGCAGCCCTACTCCTTGCATCTGCCCAAAACAAGTTTTGCAGGTGACCATCTTCATCAAGGTCAATTGCCGAATAGAAGTTCGAATTTTGTTGTTGCATTTTATAGAAATAAAGTGTAACTGATTCGGCATCTCTTATCCCAAGTCTCAATCTTCTAGTATTCCCAATATAATTCCTTACATCTCGTTCATCAAACGTTAATACCTCATATCCCCCCTGCTTCAACAACTATGGAATTGGAATTCCTCCTCACCCCAATCCCTGCTGCATCGTTCACTTCTAGTCTCCTCTTCACCGGAGTAAGAATCCTCTTATTCATTGCAAAATGTCGTGAGTTAGTAGGAATCAAATCATGAGTGTGCTCAAGCACAACTATGGTTAACTTATATTTTCCATCATTTTGTAGACTGGCTCTTACCCTTGCTTTACAATCAATTTTTGATAACAAAGATGGTTCTAAGGGATTTACTTCTGATCTTTTTGTTCGGATCCGCGCCCGAGTACATTCAATTCCAAAGTACTTTACTTCCCCATCACTTCTTAGATTTTGTGATTTAAAAGCTATAGCAAATCCACAATGTTTCGCATTTTTTGCATGAAATGCGTACACTTCTTGTGTTTGAGGTAAAATGCATCCCCTTCTTAGATTCTTCAACTTCCCCACTCTCGTTAAATGAAATATTATTATCCCGTTCTTTAACCTCCTCACTCCCATTAAATGAATTATTATTTGAATCAATATTCATTGTAGCTTCAAAGTTAAATAGAATACTGTTAAATACTGTTAAAATGATTAAAATGTTAACATATTGTGAAAATGATTAAAATTGCTATTATACTATTAAGGTATCTGTGGAATGATTAACTTGATCAAATTTTGCTCAGACAATGAATCTGAGCAAATGCATGTGAATCTTAGACAATGAATCTCAGACCATGCATGTGAAACAATAAATAAATTCATTTTTTTTTTAATAATAGTAGACAATGAATCTGAAATAAATCCTCAAGTAATAGAGCAATGGAAGAGCAGCCATGGCAGCCACAAATAAATCCAATCTACTAATTTTTTAATCGGGGGTACGTCTGATTAAATTGATCAAATTTTGCTCTGACAAAAATGCTATTATGCATGTGAAACAATAAATAAATCCAATTTTTTTTAAAAAAAAAATAATAGTAGACAATGAATTTGATAAAAAAATCCTCAACTAATAGAGCAATGGAAGAGCAACCATGGCAGCCATAAATAAATCCAATCTGCTAATTTTTTGGGGGTACCTCTGATTAAATTAATCAAATTTTGCTCAGACAAAAATGTTATTATGCATGTGAAACAATAAATAAATCCAATTTATTTATTTATTTATTTATTTTTTTTAATAATAATAGACAATGAATCGAAAAAAATAAATAAATCTTCAACTAATAGTGCAATGGAAGAGCAGCCATGGCAGCCACAAATAAATCCAATCTACTAATTTTTGGGGGGTACCTCTTATTTTCATAATCATCTTAACAATATTGTTATTTTCACAATCATCTTAACAATAATCTTATGATAGAGCAATGGAAGAGCAACCATAGCAGCCACAATCATCTTAACTAGCAACCATGGCATCCACAATGACAAAGTAGATTACAGAGCAATGTTTGAAGGGGAAATACCTTATCCACAACTCAAGCACAACTCCAATTGCTCTGCGGCCACTACTAAAGAAAGGGCCTTTTGAGTCGATTTTTTGAGTCGGCAAATTTTACCGTCGCAAAAGGTAGCCTTTTTGAGAAGGCACAGAATTACCGACTCAAATACCAAACCTTTAGCGTCGGCACCGTTGGCCGACACAAAAATTAATATTTGATAGCATTATTTGAGTCGGTTGAATTTACCGACGCAAAAGATAGACATTTTGAGTCGGCATAGACCTTTTGCGTCGGCAAATTTGTGCCGACGCAAAAAATTAGACCTTTTTGTGTCGACAACTGATGCCGTAGCAAAAAAAAAAAATTTATAGCCAAGATATATATATATATATATATTTACTTGATTATATTTAATAAATATATTTATTTATACATATACTTTTATATTAATATTGAGTGTATATACTATAAATAAAGTAGATTTAGTGCGGTGACCTCGGGTCAAATTGTCCAAATGGTGTGTGTTCGAAACTTGAGAGCCTCAATGAGAAAATTATGAGTTAAATTTTTTAAAACATTTAACCACTTTTTGAGTTGGCAATCTACCGTCTCAAAAAATTAAAACTTTTTGCGTCGGCAGATTGTCGACTCAAAACTTTTTGCGACCCCACCATTTTCGTCCCTTGAGTTGCCGTCGAAACGCCATCGCAAAAAATTTTTGCGTCGGCAAATACGCTATTTGCGACGGCACGCTGCCGACTCAAAAGCCCTGTTTTCTAGTAGTGGGCACACAAACTTCCTCCTCTTCCACTCCGATGAAACAGCAGCAGTGGCGGCACAACCTAGATGGTGCTTCTCTCTCTCTCTACTCTGTTCTTTTCTTCTTCTTCTTCTTTTTCTTTTTTTTTTTTTTTTTTTTTTTTTTGGAAATGAAATGCAAGGTGGGTGTTTCTGTATACACAGCTACAGCAGCACCAAGTTGAGTAAAACATACATTCGAGCTGTTTGAGCCAAAGACTTTCAAGCTACGTAACGAAATCAAAAATTAAAATAATTTATTAAAATAGTCAACTTTCCAAACAAGGCCGATATATGAAAAGATTATAATTTAAGATGATATCATTGTGCCACACCACCTTACGCCCGCCCTCATGTTGTTTCAGTGCCATCCATCCTAACCCATTCATTTCCCTTTTCTAGTCACCTTACTCTTTTCCAATTTTAAAAAATTATATATAACATTTCTCTATCTTTAATTTGACCATTAACTATTTTGTATTATTCTTATGTTTTAACCATTTGTATTTATTTTTCCAATCTCTTTTGTCAAATTTTAAATTAAAAAAACAATCATATAATAAGATTTCCTTTCACCTTAACAAAAATTTTAGGGTGAATTACACTAACAGTCCCTATAGTTTGGGACTCATATCACTTTGAACCCTAATTTTTTAATTGGGATACATTTGACCCTGAATTTTGAATTTTGTTTCAAATAAGGACAATTGAAAATACAATTGCTTAATTTCAAGGGCAAAATCATCAATTTGATAAATATAAACTAATTTGGCAAAAATAAATGTCAAAAAAATATTTTTTAATTTTTAAAAATTATTTCTACCCACCAAAGATAAAATTATATAAAATTAATAAATTATTTAGACATTTATTTTATTTTTTTTACCAAATTAATTTTTATTATGTGTTTAGATGATGATCATGTAATGGGTGGTCGTTAGGATTTTAATATATGATCAATTTATTTAATATATGAAATATTTTTAGTTTTGAATTTTTTGATTTAATGGATTAGTTTAATAATCAAAGTTATTACCATATTTGACTTTTAAAAAAATAGAAACTAATTAATGCAAATAAAAATAACTACCCATTACATGATTACACATAATAAAAATTAATTTAGTAAATAAATAAATATCTAAAAGATTTATCAATTTTACATAATTTTATCTTTAGTGAGTAAAAATAATTTTTAAAAATTCAAAAATATTGACATTTATTTTTGTTAAATTAATTTATATTTTATCAAATTGATAATTTTTCCCTTGAAATTAAGCAATGATATCTTCAATTATCCTTATTTGAAACAAATTTCAAAATTCAGAATCAAATGTGACACAATTAAAAAATTAGAAATTAAAATAATACAAAATTTAAACTATAAAGACCGTTACTATAATTCACCCAAAATTCCAACTACAAACTATAAAGACCGTTACTATAATTCGTCCAAAATTCCAACTACAAAGATAGTGTAGCAAAGAAAGTAATAGTTGGGAAAGTTTGAATTAATAGACAGGCGGTGAGTAATCCATTTTAGTGCACCAGTCTTCGTTTGGCATAAATTAAAATAAAATTTTTTGATTAAAATAATTATAAAAAAATAAAATAAACATTTTAGTCAAATAAAATAAATTGTCACATTTAAATTATAATCATCTCATTTTTTTTTCTCATAAAAGTCAAAAAAACTAAAAAACCTATTCTAAACGACATTTTTTAACCACAGGTTAAAATAGTAAAAAAAAAACTAAAAAGTCAACCCGCATCCCAAACAAACCCTAAGCGTTGTTGGTTGACTTTCAGTTTATTAAGGCCTTATTTGGAAAGTTAGCTATTTAACTATTTTAGCCTAACTAAAATAGTTGTGTTTGAGAAGATAGTTGATTTTTTTTGTAATTAATTTGATAATTGTAAAAAAAAAAGTGAAATGATTATGAATTGTTTAAGATTTGATATATAAGTACACTTTTTGGCTAAAAAAGTAGAGGAAAAAAAAAATGTTTAGAATAACTTTTGACTTTTTATAAAAAGATGTGTAATAAAATATTATAGTAAAATCAAAATGACTTTTTAACTTTTTATGAAAAGATGTATAATAAAATATAGTAAAATTATTTTTGTTTTGATGATAGTTGTTAGTATAAGAATTGTTAAATTATTTTTATATAAAATAATAAAACAAATAAAAAAATATAAAAAATTAAACATTAATGTTTAAAAAAAAATTTCCAATACGTAAAAAATAAAAAATTTTCTAATCCCCTCATTATTTTTCTAATACCACCTCTACCTCCTCCATCCCAATCCCCCTTCCAACCTCCATCTTAATCCCCTCCTCCATCCTAATTCCTTCCGCAACTCTACAAACAAACACAACACTAAATAATCTCACCTCCATCGTAATCTCCTCCCATCTATTACACCCCAAAACAAACAGGGCCTAAGTAAAAACACCTTAAACAAGCTGAAAAATTTTGAGTGAGGGGATTCGGCAAATATGTGATTTTGACTTTTGCCTTCTAATTATCAACTTCTTAACTTCTACTAAGCTCGAAAAAACAGAAAGAAACACCAATGTATAATGATCTATTTACATTGCCCAACCCCAACAATATTTTCAATCAAACAGGTTACTTTTGCACAGGTACCATGCAGACATTTCTGGAGACACTTGTGAGATTCAAATTTGAAAGGGTCTTCAAGGAATTCAGTTTCTAAATGTTTAATCTAGTTATGTAGCTATCTGTATTAGCTTGCCTCAGCTAAGGAATGTCGCAAACAATAGTATGTTTTCAATGCTTTCCTAACATTAGTATAATATGGACTGTCATGAGACATGCTTCAACTTGCTTGGAATGAATAACATAGCACAATCAAAGCAAACAAAGGTTCAGAATCAAAACCTATTTGACAATCGAATTCCAGAAATAAATATATAGTTTCTTTCTGCAACATATATAACCAATAGACAAACAGAAGACATGAAAAATTGTTATTAATTTCAAGCTTGGTCAAGGAAAAAAGAACAAGACACTATAACCATGCTGTTTTTGCCAATCAAACAAATTTGACTTATTTACACCAACTACTCAGGATCACCAGACAATTTTTTTTGAACCTATTCATTACATCTGCACTACATTGAGGGATCAGAGTATTAAGTTCATAACTTACATTGTTGTTATCCGTGGACAACACCAGCACTGGCAACAGTTCAACAGATAGCAAACGTTGTTCACCTCGCTCAGCACCAACCACTGCAATTTTTGCAGTCCTTGCATAAGAAACAATGTCAAAATAAGATTCATTCAATCAACTTCCAAAGGGGGAGAGAGGAAGGAAGGAAGGTGTTACTGTAAAATGTCGCTCACAAAATCTGACAATCTACGCTCCAAAGCAATCGAGCATCCAATCATCTTTAAGCAAATAGTCTATATCACTGGTATCTAATGAACCTGAGTCATTGATTCCAAGATGAAATAGGCTGTCAAATCCTCCATAATCTAGCGACAGGCTATTGATTGGAGATCCAAAGTGATTTGCAAGAGGTTTATCTTGATCATTCTGAAAGGTGTCTTTCAAATACTGGTGCATATCTCCTTCAAAAATAGCATTTTCATTTTCATGCAGTGGTGGTACATTGACTCCAGAATCCTCTGGTCTAACCCACGGTTCACTAAATCCCATCTGGGTCTGCTGTCCAACACTACTGGACCCAAATTCCAGTGATAGACTATGAAAATCATGAGTAGGGCCATGATGCATCCGAGAATCTTTTGATCTTTGATCTTGATGCAACCCAGAATTTCGACCATTAAGCAACCTGGTATTTTGAATTTCAATGTGCAATCTAGGGTCCTGAAGACCTTTCTCCACAGGCCTCATAGTTTCAGTTGTATCATTTTTGTGTCGGCCGCCACACATAGGGGAAGGTACATCAGTTTGGTTTATATCAGGCAGCGTGTTTCGTGGTTCATGATGTAGATGCTCACTAGAAGGTGCAGCCTGTTGAGCAGCTGAACTTGATCGCACACGTCGTCTTTTTCTACTAGGTTGCTCCTCTAGTCTCTCATTATCCTTGAAATGATGGGGTGTAGTATTTTGAGGTTGACTAGATGGTTCCACTTCCACTGGTTGATCTCTCAAGTCATCTTTAGATGAAACAGAACTCACACCATCATCAATGCCATCAACATCATAGTCACTGTTACTACTGACAGAAGGTTTCTTCTTTTCTCCATGGCCACTTGAAGGTGGCTCAGACATGCCAGATGCCCCATTGTCACTGCTAGGCAGCTGGAAGAGGGATTCCTCTCGACTCAAAACCCCCAACCAAATTGAGCTCTCCTTAGCAGTCATCTTATCCTGTAAGCACTTTGATTTCCGGACTAGCCTCCTGATCTTTGCAACATCAGGTGACATGTGCTTTATCACAGCAGTTAAAACTCCAACTTTCCACAACTTCTTCAAATCATGAGGCTTCTTATACAGAGGACTCTGACCTTTGGGTAGCCCCAATTTCACCCACCATTCTTCGCTCCCTGTTGGCCACCAAGGCGGAGGAATACCTTTCTCTAAGGGGTACTTCCTCTGAGGTGGATTACAATGTTGCATCAACGAAGACAAGAGAGACCCTAACGTTGCATCTTGCAACTCTTGAAGAATGTTTTGGGAGTTTCTCTTTTGAAAACCATCTTCCTTTTCCTTTGTAAGACACTCCGCTTCATATTTTACTATAGCAGCTGGTCCATTCTTATCAAACTTCACCTTCTCCTTCCACCAAGCCCTTATGTTATCTGATGCACCACTCACCGGCTTACCCTTCTCGGGAATTATCCCATACACAAATCCTCGGGCTTTGCACACTTCCATAAGCTTCAGCATGTACTTCAATATCCCATCATGAGCTCTTGCCATTTTCTTCCGCCGAGCATGATCTAGTCGCATCTTCTTGGGCTCCTGCTTCTCTGCAGCTTGTAGGGCTGCAAGCTTTTGTCTTTCCTTGATCCTCCTAAGTTTGATATGGTCCTTCCACATTCGCTTCTCCAAATCTTCTGCTTTGATCTCTTCATCACTGACATCTTTCTCTGCTATATTCTCACACCTTATCTCATCCATTTCTACATCCGAACTGTCACCCAACCCATTGGCATGAATCATAAAATGGTCCATTCAAATCAAAGTGTAATAGAAAACTGAAGTGAGAAAAGAAAAGAAATGATCGTGGTCCATTGTCATCTAGGTGAGAAAAGAAAATAAAAAATTGTGTTTTCTCATTATCATGTTTGGATGAGTAAAAAAAACAAGACATAAACTAATATAAACAGTACCCTTATCTGGCCTTAGATTGAAACAAAGGTTAACCAACATGTTGCACAAAAACAAAACACTCTAATTGGGTATCAAAGCAAACCTACCAATCAATTCCAATACTTTGAATAGATATTACAAACATAAACTAATACATCAAAAAAAAAAACTACTTTCAAATCTTTGGCAATCTAACAAACTAATCATAAAGTGGGTTTCATATAAAATAAATTAATTAACAAAACCAAATCATCAATTCTGTAGAATTACAACAATCATCGTAAATACAGTTCTTCAGACATACATCGAGAATTTAGAGAAAACAAATTGAAAAAATCGAGAAGACAGAAAAAAGAGAGACCCAAGAAAATTGAAGGTTATCGGTGGGCGAAGAATTTGAATCGTTACCTGATATCAGCTGCAATCTCTTCAAACGCACCCATCAATTTCGATCGGCACCTGAAAACCCTAATTTTTTTAAAGAAACAAAAACTAAGAAATCTATCAGAGAAAATAAGGATTTGGGGGGAGAAAAAAACACCTAGTTGAGCTCGATTCTAATCGGACAAGAAAGCACCTCAGCATTTTTTATTTGTTAATTATCAATATCAGCTTGGGCAGTCGTTTGGACTGAATTTCTTTTCTTTTTTTTTCTTTTTTTTTTCCAATTTCTTAGTTTTTTTAAAAAAAAATTAAAAAATAAATTACAAACACACCAATTTTACTTAAAATACGGATTACTTGACATTATAAATATTCATTGTCATAATTTTTTATTTAATAAAATTAATAAATAAATAAATAAAATTTTTAATTACCCTCTTATATAACAATAAAATTACAATTGAATTATATATCTAATAATATTAAAAATTATTAATTAACTTTATAATTTATTAATAAAAATGTCATTTGTTATATCATTAGAAACTTAAAAAGATAAGATGTAATTTTCAAAACCACAGAAAACAATTCATATTTTAAATAAATCTCAATATTTGTATTTATAATTCACCCAAAAATTAATAATATGTTTGAGAAATTGCTAAAATAAAAAAATTTTGGTGAAAACATTGATGTAATATTTAATTTTAAATTTTTTTTTTTTTACCGATTGCAAACTAGCTTTTGGGTTTTGGATTTTTTAATTTTTTTTAATAATGTTACATCCACCGAATTTGATGTCATTCGAATTGTCCGAATTTGTTCATGTCGGTCATCCGAATGACAAAGTGACAATCGTGGTAGATGGGGGCAAAGCCAGTCATCCGGACAATCATTCGGACTAGCACAAATTTAAGTGATTCAGCGACAATAAATTCGGTGAATAAATCATTTCACTAACAAAAAATGACTTTTTTTTATAAGGATTTCCAAATAGTTTCTATCTATTTTTTAGTATTTTTTATTTTATGTAAAATCGTAGTCATAATCATGGCTGTTGATTTTTAATATTTTTAAGAGTATAATTCGTGTAATTTTGAGTTAATTGTCATTATAGATATGTGTGTGTTTTTTAACATATGAAATCAAACTTCACTAGAATTATGGAGAGTCAAGAATTAGCTTATCAAAATTTCTGGAATATTGTTCAACTAATCCATTTCCACAATGGATGGGATTTCATACTAAATATTATGATGATATTTCAACTTGTGAACCTTAAATTAAAAGTCCTGTTTAATTTGCAAATAAAATTGAGCTTGATATTTATTTCATTAAATGTATTTTAGTAATTTTGTACTGAAAGTAAAGAGCTTTAAAATATTGTTCAACTAATCCATTCCACAATGGATGGGATTTCATACTAAATATTATGAGGATATTTCAACTTGTGAACCTTAAATTAAAAGTCCTGTTTAATTTGCAAATAAAATTGAGCTTGATATTTATTTCATTAAATGTATTTTAGTAATTTTGTACCGAAAGTAAAGAGCTTTAAAATAAATTAAACAGGTCGTTTTGTTTCAATTTAAACGAAATGGAATGGTTTCGGTTCCATTCTGTTTTTTGGTAAGCAAAAACTCCACAGTTTGTGATCTAATCTAAGCTACACAGTTTTAAAATCTAACGAAAATAATTTAATCTAATGATCATAGTCTTCATGGATCTACAAATCAACATACATTTATTTCAATAATTAAAGCAGAATTCAAATATAAACAACATTGAACATAAACAGAAAGTTTATCAGCATACAGGAGAAGAAAAATTACACATTCTTTAAGCTTCTTGTTCCCCTCAAAAAAAAAGGAAAAAATAATAATAATAATAATAGTAATTCATATGGAAGAATCGGCGAATCGTGCCTATAACAATGAGTCATTCCTTGCAGGCAATCTTCGAAAGAAATTGAGAGGCAACGATGGAAGCTTGTGTCGAAACCTTGGATGCCTCAGCATGTAAAATCCCAACACAAGTGCCACGGCTTGAAAAGGCGTAACGTAAAGCACGAAAGCCATAACCAAACATAATGTGACAAACAAAGCTGAGGCTCTCGGGTCTCTCCAACTAATAAGAGATTGAAGCCTCTCCCCTTGAGTCGCCAAGTCCCCGACCACGGTCTGAATCCTCCCTCCTATACTCCTCAGCCGATCATACCTCATCCTAACCACGTCACTTCCTTTACTAGTCGGAAAGCTATCAAATTCTTCGTCTAATTCATCAGGACCGATTGCATCAGCGTGGGATAGTCGGATATCCATGTGAGGAGGGTGACGTGGCTTCCACCGGTATTGCCAAATCCCAATGAAGAACAAGTAGAGGAAAATAGTGGGGAGAATCAGTTCCGGGTAAAGGACCAGAATGACGAAAAGGACATGAATTAGAATGGTTGTGAGAGGGTTTTTCCAGTGGCAAATTTGATCAAACCATTTTCCAACTGCGATCAAACCGCTTAGAACATTCATGATTCGGAAAAAATTAGCTTTGCTCCTCCTCACACTCCATATATGAATACCCATATCGAGCATATACTCGACAACCTCCTTTTTAAGTGGCGGCTCAGCCCTGTTCAGCCTCATCGACACTAGTTGTGTTGCTTGGTGCCTTAAATTATCGGTCTGGCTTATAGACAAGGGATGAACATAGTGCATTTTGGGCAACAATGGTTGTGTATATTTGTGCAACATGTTGACAAAAGACGTGCACGAAAACCTCACTGCTAGCTGAACCTCACCTGTTTTCTTCACCCCGGAAGTTTGAAGGACAATGAGAGGGTACGAGTGTGTGTAAACACGGTCAGTTTCGAGTGTCGACAGTCGAATCCTGACCTTCCCGATTTTTGTATCTTTTCCACCCCCTTGCCAATGACCGTTGTCAAACACGCCTATTGTGATTACAGTGCACGGATCATAAACCTCCCAACTGTACTGCTCATTCCATTTTGGAGCAGTGCTGCCAATGATTGTCCTTGTTCGCACCCATTTAGGCCCGTACTTGGCCACACAATACGCATCTGTGGTTCCTAAACCATCCCTCGACTTCATTGGCGACAAACCGGTGGCACTTATGATACCCAATTCCAATAGCCCTATGCTGGACTTCCACAACTGCTTTGAGGTAGGCCTGACATCACTACTGTATTGAGTTGATTCATCAAGCACGTGGTACCCGCCTTCTAAACAGATCCGCAAATGAATCTTACTTGCAAATTTAGTCTCTTTCTTCTCTCCCTCGACAATATGGTGTTTCTCAAGATTATGCCACCGTGGTGGCACTGCCTTGTTGTCGAACCTCCTTGGAATATTGGACAATGGAATCACACACCTCCCCAAAATCTCATCTTTGTTGGACCCAACTCTATCTTCCACATTTATAACCAAAGGTTCCTCAAATGGCTCGGCAGTTACAAACACCAAATCCTCATTCCACATCGGATTAACTGTCTTCGAGTGAATTTTAGTCCTCCCTACTTGGTTTCCGAGAGTAACCCTAACCGAAACTTCAGGCAGCCTAGCCTTGTCACTTGGTAGCAAATCTTGACATTCAATCACATTAACCCTAACATACCAAAGCTTAGGGGCTAAGTATACCTTCCCTCGGATATTCGTAACCCCTTCGCGACTAACAGTTGCTGCATCTGAATGCCATGCATCAGGAAACGCCTCGTCCGCTTGAGTCCCCTTCCAAACCGCTAGCATAATCTCCCCTGATTTTATCTTATCCCCCTTTCTATCCTCAAGTCTATACCACTGTGGCGCCAATGGGCTATCCGGTGGCACACGTTTAGGGACTTCAGAGAGATCAAATTGAATTTTTCCTATGAAATCATCCAACACCACATCTTTATCTTTCACCACAACTTCCAGGAAAGAGGCTTGCAACCGGTCCTGGGAGAAAGCGAAGACGTGGTTCCATTCGGGGTTGGACTTTTTCTCAAAATGCCGGGTGACTCCTTTGTAGTTACCCACCTTTACTTCAACATATGGATCACAACCCCCGGTCACATCTTTCGCAGGTAATTCTTTTGCTTTGACAACCCGAACATAAAGGTAATCCATTTGCTCGACAAGGTCATACGCGCACGTTAGCTTGTCTCCTCCAGTGACCCCTGCCCCGGCTATTTTGGGGGCGGTCTGCTTTATAGCAAACTCTCCTGGTACTGGAGGTCGCTGCATTTTCTTTTTCTTCTTGTTTTCACTGAGGAAACTGAAGTGAATGAAAAAGAGGGGACTTTTGTTGTACAACACTCACATGAAGTCACAATCTGCAAAAAGAACACAGATTCAGAAACATAATATGGATTTAAAATGAAACATTTGAAAAAAATTGTGATTTTGTTTTCATTTCATGGTTTTGTTAAGGTATTTTCGATACAAATTTGACACAAAATATAATTCTATCAAATTGGAAATGTTCTCTAAGATTTATATACTGATTGGGGCTGAATTTAGCAACAAAAACAAAAGCAAAAACAGAGTTCAGATAAGAGATTCAAAACAAGAACATGGATTTAAAAACCAACATTGAGCTCCAAAAAACCTCTGAAAATGAAAATTTGTGCTTTTGTTTTCATTCCATGATTGAGGTCTTTTTGATCCAATTGCCAACAAAAATTTAATTCTTTCAATTGTAATTGCAGGGCTAAATTTCTCAGAGCAACAAAGTTGATAAGCAAAAGCAAAAGCAAAACAGAGTTCAGAACTATGAATTCCATTTCCATTTCCAATATGAGTTTTTTTTTTTTACCCAAAACATATGTATTTTTGTTGTTGCACTAATTAGAGTAAAAGAGAGCACAATTTCTTCTTCTTTTCTATTTTTATTTTTTTTACACTACCACTATCATTCGGTACATCTTACCAAATATGTGTAATCACTCACAAATCATGCGTATCAGCTATTCTTTTTTTGTTTTCTTCTTTCATCAAAGAAAAAATTTTATTTGGCAAATTGCTTCGGAAATCTGTTTTCATGAATTTTTTAAAAAAAACAACTCACACGAAAACAAAAAAACTGAAATAAAATTGGAAATAGGCCAATGATTCCAAGAAATAAACGACATGAGCAGAGATCAAAGAGGAAGTAAGAACCTCATGAATTTGTAGCAGAGAAATATTAGGCACCTCTCTGAAAGCTTTGCATCACAATGAATGAAAAAACCCTGCAAATCCAAAACCAAATCAAAATAATTGAGTGTCAAGCAAGAAAACCAACCAATTCAACATTTCTTTGTTTGGTTGGTGAGAAAACAGAGGCAGAAAGGAAGAAAAGGAAATTTAAAAAATAATAGGGTTAGGTACTGTGTTGGTACATTTTAGGAAGTGCTTTTTCTTTCTTTCTCAAGAAGCATATTTGATTGCAATGTTTGCACCTAAATGTTGAAGGTCACCCCATGTGAAAGGGGTGATCCTCATGTCAACAAAGGAAGACAACCAACCAAGTCAAGCTTGGTGGCCACCAACCATAGCAAAGGTCAAGAATGGAGGCTACCCAAGTCAAGAATGAAGGCTCTCCCACCTACTCCTTTGTGTATAAATAGAGACGGGAGGGAGAGGATGAGATACAGATCAGAAATTAGAGAGTGAGAGCTGTGAGTTGAGTGAGTTTCATCTCCTCCTCTGTATTTTGTATTTTGCTCCATTTTAGTGAAAACTTCTCATTTCTGTCCGTGGATGTAGGCATTGGGCCGAACCACGTAAATATTGTGTTCCCTGTGTGTGTGAGATATATTTCTGGGTGTGTTTGATCCTAACACTAAAAAGTACTTTCAAAAAATTTATATTGTTTGAAACTATACCCAAGTAACAGTTTTCTTTCAGTTTCCACACATGTTCTCAGCACCCAAACAGCTGGGGAAAGAACAGAAACGATAAAAAAAAAAAATTAAAAAAAATCATGGGTTTCTCATAGTGTACTTTGTGGGATTGAACGAGCACTTATATAGACAAGAAAATGTAAATATCAAAGTTTGGGAGTGTACTAAAATGAAGAGTGGCAAGGGTTGGCAAGAACTTTAAGGCATTTTTCTACTTACATGCACTGAAGACACTGGTGTTTAGATACAGAGAATGTTTGAGAGAGAGAGAGAGAGAGAATGAAGGTGATGAACCAAAAATCCTCATGAGACTTGCAGTGGGGGGTAGTTACCAGTCAATTCGTCTGTTTGTACAGAATTCAATCACACATAATCAGTTATAACTCTCTGGTGTGATCTAATTTTGTGACCATTTAATTTTTTTTGTTTATTAGTTTCATATCATTTATTGATTCAGTTTTATTAAGTAATTTAAAAATAAATAACTTAATGTATTTTGCTATTCATTATTTGACTGGAGCACTATATAAGAAATGTCACCCAAGTGCCGGCCCTCGGCACAGGCCAAGAACGCCCATGGCCTACACCCCTTGAAATAGATTCAAAACAAGAGCTTCTTCTATTATGATTTAATGTAATATATTAGGTATGTTTTAAGTTAAAAAAAAAATAGAGAATGTCCAAACTAACTTAAAATAAATTGATCCATTAAAAAATTAAAAGGGCCATTTAAAAAAATTAACATTGTTATCTATTGAAAATAGATCCAAAAAAAAAGATCTCCTCCTATTATAGTTTATTGTAATATATTAGGTATATTTTAAATCTAAAAAAAAATTAAAGAAACTCAAAGTAACTTAAAATAAATTGACTCATTAAAAAATTGAAAGGCCCATTTAAAATAATTAGTATTGTTATCCATTGAAAATGATTTTGCAAAAAAATTAGGTTATGCAAGTATGATTGATTTATTTGCTTCTAAAAATGCAAGAAGAGCAAGGATCAAGTGACACTTATTAATTATTGTAAAGTAATACTAAGTTTTTTTTGTAATTTTGGCACAAATCTTTTGTCTTTTATCTTCATTTTTTTTTCCATTTTTTTCATTCAATGAAAAAAAAAATGTGAAGGGCCTAAAAAATTTATTAGTTGATTATTGGCTTTGGGGCCCGAAAATCTCACAGCCGACCCTGATGTCCCCTACTATCTTGGGAGAATTTAGCTTTTTTTGGTGGAGAATTCTATTATGCACATCTCCATATCATATGCATTTTTAATTATGCTATTTTATTCTTTAGTTATGAGTAATTTTTTTTAATTATGATATTATTTTGAGATATTTAATTATAATTTTTTTGTATTTGATTATAATTTTTTTTTTTTAATTATGACTCAAAAAATATGAATTTATATAATTTTCTTCTATAATTATAAGGTGCATATACATACTAGTTATTAACTGGATTAGCTTAGTTATCCACCCTGTATATTTTTATTTCGTTGAGGATCCTCTCTATGAACAATTAACTAATAAAAAATAAAAAAATTATCATATTATAATTATTAAAGAAAATTCTAATATACATCCCTTTATAAAGGATGTACTATATGCACCTATATCATTTTTTTTTTAGTTATAATTATTATTTTTATTTAGTTAAGATATTATTTTAATTATCACCCATAAATTCTTTAGTTATGTCTTATATTGAGTTTAGTTATGATATTTTTTAAAAAAAATTATGACTTAAAAAATTAAAATTATTCTATTTTTATAACTAAAGTGCATACGAGTGTTTCCCAATTATTAATACTGACCCACTTTATTTTATTTTATTTTTTGGATATGAATAATCTAATACTACAATTTTATGCTCTTATCAATGTGAATGTTAACATGTCAATGTGAATATTCACATTGTCGACAGGCCGGACCAGGACCGCCCCGGGCCGGCCATGGGTTGCGGGCAGGTTTCACGCCGCCACGGGACGGGGGTCAATTTTACACTTCTATTAATGTGAATGGTAATATGTCAATGTGAATATTCACATTGTCAACGGGCCGGGCCTGCCCCGGCTCGCGGCCGGGTTTCGGGCCGCCCACGGGCCAATTTTACATTCCTACCAATGTGAATTTTAAAATATGAATGTTCACATCATTAAATTGCTAATCGTTCAAAAAATATTTATAAGGGTATCAAAATTAAATATAAGGGCATAAGTGTCCAAGAAAATAGTGTAAATCAAGAAAATGGACTTTATGGAATAAAACTATACATACATGGGACTAAATGGGTTAAAAAATTCCTTCATGGACTTCTTGAGTTAAAACACTTCTAAATTGGACTTATCAATAAAAATCCCATTAAAGGTATTCTATTTTTATAACTAAAGTGCATACGAGTGTTTCCCAATTATTAATACTGACCCACTTTATTTTATTTTATTTTTTGGATATGAATAATCTAATACTATTCAACCAATTTAATTTTGGAATAATTTTTAAAAAATTCGACAATTCTAACAGAATAAAGTTTGAATTTTTAATTTTATCAACTTAAAATCATAATCTTTTAATTTGTTTTTAATCTAAACTATTTGTTTATTTCCGTGAAGTAAAATTGATGAAAAAAATATATTTTAATCATTAAATAGTTTGGCATGTGGGTTTGGGTGAGGTTGGGACTATTTTAGTCACAAAAAGATAAAATAAACTTTTTAGCTTAATAAGACAAAATAACACATGTAAACTATAATCATTTAATTTTTTTTTCACAAAAGTCAAAAAAATCAAAAAGTCTATCACAAACGAGACTTTTTAGCCCGAGATTAAAATAGTCAAAAAACTAAAAAGTCAATTCACATCCCAAACGAAACCTAAATGTACATAAAATATCTAAAATATTTTTTTTATTGAGTTTAATTTTCATTGATTTTACTTAATGAAAATAAAAAATAATTTAAACTAAAAAAATTAAAGTATTTAAATTTAAATTAATAAAATTAAAATTTTATTTTATTATAAGAATCCAATTAAATCTTTTTAAATAATTTTTTTTATGACTAACTTATTTAGCGAGTTGTACAATATATGAACCCATTAAATCATCTAACTTTTACTTTGTAAAATTTTATTTTTTATTGAGATCCCAAATCCGAGAGTAAAAAGGCTTTCACTTTTTCACAGTGCTTGAACGCGTTAAACGTTTTGTTTGGCAATTATATCTTTTAATTAAAAAATTAAAGATTATTATAAATTATTATCTTATTTTTTATATTTTTTTTACATATTTTTTCATAAAATTTTTAAAGAATATTAAATTAGTTTATTCCCAGAGTTTTTTTTTTAAATATTTTTAAAAAAAAACAATTTAGAGAATTGACCCACTTTTCAAATTATTTGAGAAACTAACCTACTTTTTAAAATTGCATTTTGAAAATATAATTTTAAATTGAAATTATGTAATTTCATATTAAAATCGCATGTTGAAAGTGCAATTTGTGATGATATGGACTTCACTTTTTGAAATTACATTTTCAAAATACAATTTCTAGATGAAATTGCATATTGAAAATGTAATTTCAATTTCAAAATTGCATTTTCAAAATGCGATTTCAAAAAGAAAGTTAATTTCCCAAATAATTTGAAAAATTGATCAATTTTCTAAATTGTTTTTTTTTAGAAAATTAAAAAAAAAAAAAACCTCCCCGTTTGGGGCCACTATTTTATTTTATTTTATTTTTTTTGGAAATAACATAACAGTGTATATTTTGAAGAAAAAAAAAAGAGTTAATTAATGATAAATTTCATAAATTTTAATTATTGAAAGTATAAATTTTTTCATGTGTTAATAATTCTTTTTTAACACTACAACTGATTTGTAATGTTATTCTTTCTTGAATTATTTACCAATAAATCCGACTTCACAAACTATTATACCAAATAGTCCCCTTTTTATTCTTTTGTACTCGTTAGTCCTGCTGATGGGTTGATTTGGTCCTTTTTGTTTTTTTTTTCTAGTTTTAAGTAGGATGAGAATTAATTTATTTTGTAATTTAGTTAATTTATATTTTAAAATATAAATATAATTTTGATAATAGTTAGAAATTTGTAAATTCTCCGTAAAAGTATTTGTAATATATATATTTTTTTATTTCTTTTAACATGTAACTTAGGCCTCGTTTGGGAACAGGTTAATTTAGTAACTTTTTGGCTATTTGGCTAAAAAAGTAGGTAAAAAAAACTTATATGTTTGGAATGATTTTTTGGCTAATTACGAAAAGATGTGCAAAAAGTAGAGAGAAAAGAGAATCTTTGACTTTTTTGTATAAATTGTTGACTTTTTGGTTAAAAATGTAACTTTTTAACTTTTTGACTAAAAAGATAAGTCCCCAAACGGAGCCTAAGTATAGTTGTCAATTTAATATTAAAAAATAACTATTGGCACTCTTATATTTTATAAATGCACTCAATATTTTATCTTTTACTTAAAACAACACACAACATATTTTTAATACATACTCAATGATAAAAAGTGTTTTGAAAAAGATAAAAAGAGTAAAAGAGTTATGAATTTATTAGTGATGAATGTTTTAAAATAAGTGAAAAGTGTTCTGCATTCTTCAATTTTTCTTTTTCAATCTTTTCATCTTTTTTTTTTCTTTGTCGTCGTCGTGGTCATAAAGACACTTGTTAATATAACCCTAACAAAATTATAATTTTAAAATAAGCCAATGACAATAATGCATCATCCTTGGAACTAAATTTTTATTAAATATTTGAAAATTGATCTTGTAAGAATTTTTCTTAAATATGGCTTAATGTGACTTATGCATAATTATACTAGATTCATCTCATTAAGTAAGATACGTGTACATCAATTAGATGGTGACTAATTATTGATGAATGCACCTATATATACACTAATGCTAATGCACATTGAATGTGATGAATTCATTATGAATGAATCTTAGAGATGCACATTGAATGTGATGGATTCATTATGAATGAATCTTAGAGATGCACATTGTATCTATTATGAATATGTAAGATACATTAGTCTTATCTAATGAATTCATTAAATATAAAAGATGCATTATGTATCATAAATGTATAAGATACATTAATCTATTTAATGAAGTTCATTGAATGAATGGTTGGAAGAAT